TATTAGTGGCTTTTTTTTCCTGTGTCCTTATTCATGAAAATACTTTTCCCCCAAGCATTTCTGAGAAATGCTTCTTCAAACAGTTTTCAGTCTTGAAAGAATTGATATTGCCAGTTACACCAGATTCATCTGTATGCCCTGGGATCCTGCAGTTAACTGCCATGACTACCCTAGCTTTGTCTAGCAGTTATAACCACTTGCATTAAACACAGCTCTTAACCCCCTCCAGTGTTGCCTGTACCAAGAATTCAATGTCCCAGTTGCAATTCCATAATCAAGTTGTCAAATAGCGTCACCGTCTTCTGGATAATCTGCGGAAGATGGCAGATCTCATCTTGGCCCCTTTCTGTTTGTTTTAGAGTCAGAGCCCTGCAGCTACATTTCGATAAGAGATGGGTGGCCGCACAGTGAACAGTGCCAAACAATACGCTTGATCAATGGCTTGTATGTACTTGGGAAGCAAACACACTGGCTATTCCACTCGGTTTCTCTCTGGAGAAAGAGCCCTTAGAAATTAAATTTTCAATTAATAGAGTCCATTTTTTGTTTGGTTTGTATCTTCCCAGATTCACTGCCTGCTCCACAATGCTCTTAAATCTATATTACAGCCTTAAATTCAGCATCTGAATATTTGAAAGGGGAAAAAAAAAGAAAGCCTTGGAAAAAATGTTTGAAAAGCTGGAATTATTTTAATAAGCATCTGTTCCTTTAGATTCATATATTCCAGTTCCAAATCTCTGAAGCAGACTGAATAACTGAAAGGATTTTACGTCTGGGAAGATGAATAGGTCAGTTTTGTTGATAGCTGCACAGCAAGGGGATAACTTCTCATTAGGCATTGGTTTTCAGATCTGGAAAACGCTGTCTCATTCCCTGCCCGCTGCCGATGCACACACGTGCCTGTGCAGCAGTTCTAGGGAAGGGGAGCATGGGGAGAGGAGTGTTGGGAGAGAAGCTGCTGGACTAGGAAGCGATTCCTTTCAGTGGTCTGTCCTTCAGAGGAGGAACATGAATTCTTGCTGACTATATTTTTATTAGTTTGCTCAAATGCTATCAATGGCATTCGACAGCAGAGATCAGTCACTGAAGACTGCTGTACTGGCAGCACTCTGCTCGCTCTGTGTGCCTTAAAAATGGCTTGTCCATCAGCCTTCGCTGGCTGGCAGAGGAAATTGCTCATTAACTATGCAAGCATACATGCAGGGATTCAAGTCCTAAACTGTTTGCCAAGAGGATGTCAGACAGAACTGCTTGTTTTCGTTAGGGCATGAAAATGAATGATCTGAGACAGTTCTCTTTTCAGCATTTTGAAGTTTTCATAAATGGAGAGAGAGAGGGAGAATTTCTGTTTATATAGAGCAAGGTTTGATCCTGTTACTGTCAATATTATTCTCATACAAAAACGTCCCGAACAAAGGATATTTACCAGCCACAAAAGCAGTCTGCCTTTCCTTTCCTTACCTGTCTTTCACATCATACACCATTTATATACTTCAATAGAATATGACCAAATCCCACTCCTTTCATCCAGCAAGATGACTTTGTCAGCTGTTAGTCTCCAGCGTAAGTTCATCGTTAAAGGACAAGGCTAAGGTTTTGTATGCAGAGTAACTAGCAACTGGAAAAATTAAAGAGGGTAGAGACACAAATTAAATAAAGTCCGGGTTTAATCTGTTGCAGACACAAAGAAAAAATCAGGCTGTAGAGGACAGAGAATCTTGGTTTCTGCTTTGCGTTCTCTTTCCTTTGCGTCTGTGCTTTGGGAATAGGTAGACTTGAGTACGACTTCTCTTGCTCATATTCCAGAATTACTGGCAGGCATTGCACCAGCCTGTTTCCAGATATTAGCCATCAACACCCAGAGAGAGGTTTAGGCACATGGGAGATGAAGAACTGCACCTTTCAGAGACTCTCCGGAAACTACGGTGCTATGCAGCAAGAGAATCATGGAATCACAGAATGGTTTGGGTTGGAAGGGACCTCAAAGATCATCCAGTTCCATCCCCTTGCCATGGGCAGGGACCCCCTCCACTAGACCACGTTGCCCAAAGCCCCATCCAGCCTGGCCTTGAACACTTCCAGGGAGACTCAGTGGACAAGCCTGAGCAGCCAGAATTCAGACTTTAAATGAGCACCATTGAATGGTTTGTCTTGGCACAAATCAAGACCAGGCTTTCTTTTGGTATTACGCAGATCAGCTGAATGTTTGTGAGATACAAATTTGTTTACAAAGTAATATGAATTAAACTCAATTAAAAAAAATGGGAACTTAATGTCTAGCTTAACTGGCTTCTCACCAGTGTACCAAGGTAGATAATAGAGAAAAAGACGTTGCTGCCAGGTGAGATGGGAACTTTGGTTCTCTGAATTGCCCGTTGGAGGAGCTTCTCTTTAGCTGCTGATTATGTTATCTAATACAAGGGGAAAATTGTTTTTCAGGCACAAAGTTGAGATCCTAGCAAAATCTGAAAGCCACAGTTGGCTTACATTGACTCCTGTTGTTAGGTTCACCGGAGGCAGGATTGGCAACAAATCAGGATTGAATCCTCTGCTCAGAATAGAAATAGGGTACCGCAGTTGCCATGGGGTGGCAAACGTTCAGGAGCCGCTGTCGATGCTTGCCCTATATAGATCACCTACGATGTTTGTCCTGAGTCCAGAGCTTTCCTAAAAGGGTTTCAAGGTAAAACAATGCCTGTGCAAACTGCCTGCTGCCTTGGGAGTGATCCAATGGCATTTAAATGCCTCTTGTGAGCTTTTTCTGAAGGTCATCGGGAGAGGAGAACGCAGGAAAGGAGTATCCCGCTCAAGTACCAGCTAATTCAATCTGATGATGATTCATGTTTCATATCCCAGGATGGCTTGATATTTCATGTATTTTTTACCTTTTATAGCAATGCAAAATATGTAGAATTCAGTTGGACAAATCACAATGACAGAACAATAGCTTAACAAAATCAAAATACATGTCTCAGCTTTATCGGGCTAGGTGCTCTCTTGAACATACCAGTAAAACCCGTAAGCCTGGGAAGCTCTGTGCTCTGCTTTAACGCTCTTTGAAAGCCTAGTGAAAGAGTACATGGGTCCTGTGGCAATTCCCAAAGACGGTAAATTCACTCTTTACCAAACACAGTAAAAACAAGGCTCCTGCCCCGTGCCTAATGAAATCAATGGGGATCTTGCGACTGACTCCAAGTGCAGCTAGATTAAACCACTGGTTGTATGATGCAATAAGATGCAGATATCTCTAACTTAAGAATGTCCTAGGAGCAGAAACAAGCACCAGATGTCCACTTTGGGTAGTGGTCAGTCAGCCACCTAAAGGAAATTTTGAAAGATGGCAAGAAAACCTTTTTTCACTCCTTGTTGCAGCAGTCTAGGACAGACAGTAAGAGCTCTTAGAATAATTGGTATGTTGTGATGGCCTTCACCTGAATCTTGCACTTTTTTTCTTAATTAACAATTGATAAATTTATTAGTCTGATCTGTCAGAGGTTTGATGCTTTACATTCAAATGGAAATTTTTTCTTCATTTATAAGTAAGGAAAAGATTAAGAAATCTATATGATATTTTTCAACAGTCTTTCAATTGTTTTAGTATGGAGTAAAAAAACACTCTCAAAACCTAAAGAAATATTCTTCTGCATAGTAAGAACTATGTTTGCGTACTTATCTGCATGTATGTACAGACATGCCATTTTTTATTCAGACTTTTTTCTTTTCTGTGTAGTCATTCCCCATTAGGCCCTTCCAGGCTGATAACTTGTGGCAACAGTGGCTTACGGACGGCTTCATGATGTTACTATGTGCTACCCTCCCGTAACGCAGTTAAACCTCTGAATTTCATATTCTGTTTGCATGGTAAGGAAAAGCAGCCAAAGCCGGTCAGGGTTTGTGCTCAGAGTCCGATGTTGCATGGTTTCCGTAGTTCCAGATATGGAACCATTAAATAATAATAAAAAAAATAAATAATCACCTTGTTGTACCAGCAGTTGCTTTCACAGGTGCTTGCACTGAATTTCAGTTTATTAGTGGGAGAATAGCTGATTTGAGCCACTTGGAATCTACTTCAGAAAACAATTTAGCTGGAGTTTAAGCACATTAGGATATCCAACTGTGATTAATGCATGTACGTTTTGGTATTTTTCCTAGCGAGGCCTTGAGGCTGGTTGGATCCTCTGTGCAAACTGTAAGATCTCCCCAGTCGGTTCTCCACTGGATGATTTTCTCTCCCCGCTGTGCTCTGCAGCACAGACCTCCGACGTGAGCGATGGCGTCAGTGTAAAACATCATCTCACTCTGCAGTGGCCGAGCAGAGCTCTGTCTACAGCAACTCGGAGAAACAAATAGGAAACAGGATTTCCCCCAACAGGTATCTGATTTTTCAGAAATGAGCTGTTGTAGCGGGATGTACAGCCAAGCAAAAACCATAATTTATACTAAATGCCTTCAGAAATTACAAACATGGCAAGTGGGACTTTCAGCCCCCTTCACTTGAGCACCAAGCTTTAGCTGGTTCCCCTTTTCTCTCAGCATTTACTAGAAATAACATTCTTGTTACCATTTTGTGCAGGGTGGATTCTGGTAACTGCCAGACCAAGAAACCTGACCCTGTTTGTTTGCTATAAACGCTACCAGCTTTACATGCTCTCCACCCTCTGGGAACCCAGGAAAGCTAGTGTTTGCCTCCTGCTGCAGCCTCAGGGAGATGCCCTTTCAGGAACTCAGCTCTTTAGATAAAAAGTCTTCCTCCTCACATGAGAGCATCCTTGAGTGAGAGCATTGCAGCATATTTTAAAAGCTTTATCTGTCTGGAAATTTTCCAGATGGTCCCTTACCCACCAATGTCGTCGTCCTCCTCCTCTCCCCCTCCCTTCTTAAATCTTCCCAAGCAGATCCATATCATTAATATTTCAGTATCAGCTGTTTGCAGGCATTGGCTACACTGCAGCGCACTTCATCAACAAGAGACAGCAAGGGCTGCGAGGTTTGCCACACTGCCTTCGTCCACCGGAGGAGTAAGAGCAAAGGCAGAGACTGGCAGAGAAACCGAGCATCCGCCGAGGGTCAGGCTGCATATTGCAGTCCCGGGCTTGAGGTGCTTTTTGCTGCTGTCCCTCACTCAGATCGTCCAGGTAATACCCTCGCAAGCAACAAGGATGGATGTCTTTAAGAAAGGTTTCTCTATTGCTAAAGAAGGTGTGGTGGCTGCTGCAGAAAAGACCAAGCAGGGAGTGACGGAGGCTGCAGAGAAGACTAAAGAAGGGGTGATGTATGTGGGTAAGAGAGAACTATTTTCAATCTGTATTTGAGCATGAACTGCTGCATAGGTCATCTCTGAGAAAGTCTGAGGAAATTATATTGTGGCTAAAGCTTGGAAGTGAACAGCAGGAGGTCGGGATAACATCCTCAGCTCAGTAAGCCTGGGGTGCCACATCCTCCTTGTGCCTCAGTTTCCCCAACTGCAATTTAGGCTTAGAAATGACCGTTACTTCAGGGGAGGCAGAACTAGTGCAATGTGAAGGAGCAGATGCCCAGGTGGAAGGTTTCTGTTATGACTGTTCACTGATTGTTTGCGGGGTGAGTCACTCACTCTCCAACCATCCGAGCACTGCTGATCTCCACCTCACCTCCACGCTGCAAGAGACGTGCTGAGGAGGTCCCCGAGAGGGGCCAGCAGTGTTATTGGGTGGGGATTGCAGGATGCATCTGTTTCCCCACCGCACATACCATTTTATCCTGAAATCCTTCTCTTGTTCACCGACCTGTTTCGTTCCCTTGCACACATTAATCTTGCTGTACAAGAGACTCCCAGTTCACTTTGCCCAAAGGATAGGATCTGGAAATCAGCATGTCTGATGTCCTGCTAGAGACCTCTCTCAGTTAATGTGCTGCTTCAGAAACCTCCCCTTCAAGGTCACCTTTGAAACCCGCTATCTCCCCTATCTAGTGCATATAATTATATGGCTGGATGGTCAGATATTCCAGGAATTATAAAATTTACGCAGTCTTATGTTCCCAAGACTGATTACCTTGGTGCTGATTGCTGCACCTCACACAGCTTTTTATGTTTGCTAGATGTGAGAGAGAGGGGTTTGGTTTTTTTAGTAGGAAAGTTTACGTGCAGGCTCTTCCTGCTGTCGTGCTGCAACATCCACAGCTCTATGTAGTTACTATATTTAAAACAGCTATATTAACAATAGCTACAGGTATATATTTGTACATTACAAATTAAATACAAATTTTCTGTGTAGCGGATCTGGGAATGTCTTCATCCCAAAATTTTCAACACAACTATTGGCATGCTGTAAATGAACATATGTAACAGTTCGCATTTCAGTTTGAAGCTGACTTGCAAGAAAAAAGGTAAACAGCATCCCTGTAAATAATTAAACTAACCACAGTAACTGAAACACCAGCCTGTGAAACATCACGTCTAGGTGTCAAATTGTGGCATCCCTACTGCTCCGGCTGCTTCCTGATTTGATCAATGTCGGCAAGGATTATTCCAAATTTTTATACGTAATTCCTCACATCTCTGTTCAGTCATGTTGTACATATCCATGTGTACATCTCCATACTGAGACCTGGTTTTCATTTTTGTACAACTATGAGGTACAGAGTCTGCTTATGAGATTCTAACCTTTTCAATAAAGTTTTCTAAAAGCCTTCTTAAAACCTAAATTTCTGAATAAGGATCAAATAAGGATCAAGGTGAAGATGAAGTGCTTTCTCCTTTTGTTTTTTTGTTTTGATTTGTTGCATTTTTTGATATACCACCAGTTCCTGCCCTGTCATGCACTGGGTAGTGCTTTGCCTTGGGGCTGGTTCCATTCCTGTTGCACGCTGGGGAGTGCTCAGCCCTTTGGGGAATATTCAGTCTTTCGGAGGCAGGAAAAGTAAAGGCCGGATGCTGATTAGCTCAGAGAATTTATTTTTAAAAAAGCAGAGAAGGTGGAGGCCAGGTATATGGAATGATTAGTATTTTGTATGTGCTGCCTTTTCTCACTGTGTGCTGCGTGACGGGTTAATCAGAGACCTGAACTGTTCCTTCCCTGCTCCTTCCTTTGCAGAGCCCTATCCTAGCAGCTTGGTCTGGAGTGTTAGGCGATGCAACCTGAATTTTTGGATGCTAGGAGAAAATAATACTTGTATAAAAGCTTGAGGGTCTTTTCAGAAATTCAGGAAAGGGGGGAAAAACCCCAATGCCTAGGGTGGAAGAAGTGTATCCTTGACTTTTATTCAGGTTTGTTAACTCATCGCTGACTCTCTAAGGAGGATTCCAGCCGTCTGGGCACAACCACCACATCTGGTGAGTCACTTGCTGCTGCCACCCCAGGAGAAAAAAAACAGCGCTCATTCAGAGGCACCTGCCTGGAGCGGACATTGTCACCAGGGCTCTGCGGCCACCTCGTTTCTCCTCCCCAAGCCACGCAGGTTCAGTTCCCACAACCCTTGCCAGAGCCCGAGGTGCCTCCCTCCCGTGCTAGCACCGCAATGCGGTTCATAGCTGGTTAGAGATGCTGCCATCGCCGGGGGAGTCACAACTGTGGGGTGCTCCTGCCCACCACATGGCTTGCTGAACGTGTAGGGGAGAGAAGTAAAATCACTGTCTGCTTATTGCTTAGTAAAATCACTGTCTGCTCTCCAAATTGCAACAGCCACTGTGTACACTGAAGTGGTTGTCAGTTCTTGCACAGTTAATCCAGAATTTGATTCAATGGGCTGTCTTTTTATTTGGTTTAAATAGGGCGATAAGTGATGCTGAAGCTAATTAATGAAGTTAATGCAAAGCTGCATCAGAGTATTGAGTATAAGGTCATTAGTACTGTTTAATACTACAATTCAGGAAGCCTCAACAGAGAATACACTTCTAGTTTTCCAGACCAGCTTTTGATCATGCATGTCGCAGAAAGCCCCAATGCACCAAGCTCTACTTAAAGTGGCTCCAGCACGAACTCCTGCAGGACTTAAAACACATCATAATATCCTTTTCTACTAAAAACCTTTTCCCACTGCACAGCGCTCCACCATCTCGGTCGCACCCTTGCGATTCCAAAGCTCTTACAGATGACTCACAGCACTCAGAAGAGGTAGAATGCATGAACTTTTAATTCTGTGTACACAAGCTGCAGGCAAGGACTAATGAGCGAAATGAGATTGAGCATCAGGTGATTGCTTTCTGATCCAACAGATGCGGGTTGCTGGCAAGGGTATACGCCGGAAGGTCAGATTTCATGTGATGCATAATGGATGCTGAGCCTGAGTCATTGGGTGTGGTCGGGAGATGATGGGGTTAGGAAGATGAGGCGAGCTCTCCCCAAGATGCGGTGGTGGCACTTCCCGCTGCCATTGCTTCTGTTGTGAAATGCATTCAGCTATTTTTCTTCTACCTGCGTTCCTCCTTTCTGGAATTATTTTCCATCACAAAATACGGCACCCACCCACTCCCCCCAGCAAAAGAACTGAGCCCAGATAGTGATCTTAAATCAAAAGTCTGGTAAAAAAATTCCACTGAAATACAGCTCTTGTCTCACTAAGCATGTTTACCACAAAACTGAAATGTATGCAAGGCTAGTACAGCAAATTATATACTTTGCTTACCGAACAACTGCTCTTTGACCAAAAAACAGCAAGGAAGAGCTAAGCTTGAACATCTGTGTCTGATGTAAGATCATCTTGTATGTCAAATCAATACCGTGGCAGTCTTTTATTGGAACGGTGCTGGGAGAGAAACTGAAGCAGGGTGGCGACTGAAAGGAACTGCGTGCGTTCGGCCCGTTCAGGAGCTCACGTTCATGGCTTGGCACTTGCATCTGCTCTGCTCACTGCTGTGCTTCTGTGCACATTGTTTTATCATGCACGTCGTTATTAAATCCAGTTTACAGCAATGCACACGCGCCATATGCATCATTAGGAATTGCAGTTTACAGCAGTAACAAGTATAAAGTACAAAGATTTCATCTCTTTGGTTTTAACACGGTTTGGGAGAGTGGAGTGAAACGTTGGGGGCGTGTTGTAGTAGAAGAGCTTTCTTCTGCCCCAGGCAACCATTGCCACCACCAAAATAACTCGACAATTGAGAATTGCATTCAATAATGCGTAACGTGTATCAGGCAGAACAGCGCTGGGCTGGATCGGTTGTTATCGGGGCACTGCACCTGTTTTGCTTCTCAGGCCGGTACTGAGACCGAGGTGCGGTTTGTAGCTGATTTCTCCCACCACACCCGTGGATGCCCCAGTACCTCTGGAGTTAAAGATCTGCCCGGCACTCTATTTCTGTCATTTTGACAGTTGGCCATAACAATCCTTTTGTTGTATCAGTATGGGAAACTTGAAAAGAGCCTGCATAGGCGCAGATGATTTACAAACTACAGTAAAGTGGGGCCAGTGAAGCCTTTTGGCACATGTTTATTTAACTTCCAACAGAGATAAATTTGATCCTTTATTTTTGTAATGTGAAGAAGCATCTAGTTACTGTGGGAGCTGCCCGTCTACCGTATGATTGAACATACGTGCTGCAGTATACGAATAGAAGGGATGTATAGCAGGTCAGTTCAAGCTTGGTGGAAAACTGCAGAGGTTAATTATTCCTTAAGGGCTACTTGTGTTGCAAACTGAATGCCCTCACATCCTGTTAGTTTTTCTGCCTTGAGAACAGCGAGATAAATTACAATGTAAGCATACATATGGTGTACTTTCGTAATTTGAGATAAAACCTTCTGCATTCAGCGTATTGCTGTGAGCAGGCACTTACAGCCTAGGCTGTGGCACCGAAATGGGAACCTAGTAAGTAGGTGTGTAGTGAGTGAGTGGTTGTTCTGTAAATTCAGCCTCAAGTTTCTTCAGAGTCTTTATTAGAGGTATAGAATGAAGCTTTAAATGACCACTGCAGCCAAGTATCCTGCTGAAAGGCAGGAGAGAGTCACGGGTGTGAATCCTTGTTTTGAAAGACTGAAGTAGATGAGATTTTACCAGGTGACTTAATATACATTCATTTTTTTACAATTAGCTTAACATTGATTTACCTCCACTCGACTGGTTGGTTTTTTGTTTGGTTTTTTTATTTATTTTGGAAATATTCCAGGGACAATTTTTCATACTTCAGCGTAGTATTATCAAGATTTTTCAGATCTAGGCATCTCCAGACAATTTGCGGTTGAAGTTATCCAACTCCTGACACAAAGGTACTCATTGACTTTATTGGGGAAGGAAGCTGGTCGCTTCTGCTGGCTGTGTGAACGGCTCATGTCTTAGCAGGAGGCACCGGCAGCACCACGGCTCCCCAGTGTGCCTCCTAAGAACAAAAAGCCGTCCGTGTCCAGAAACCAGGAGGTTCTTCACCAGGTAGCACTGATGAATCGTGTGTTTCCTTTCACAGGTACCAAAACCAAGGAAGGTGTAGTGCAAAGTGTGACCTCAGGTAAGGGCACAGTCCCGAGAGGGATGTGGAAATCTGTGATGTGTTGCTGGACCTCATGATAAGGCCATCATTCCTGCCAAATGGAAAGGCTCTGGGGGACACCACTGGTCTGCGTGACCTTCCATTTGATGAATGGAGGATGCTTGCCAGGAGCGACAGTTCAGGGTCTAGCATTTGCAGTCCACGTGGATGGGAGAAAATATTTAATCAGTAAAGCAGGTCAAAAAAAAAATCTAACAACTGTCACTTGGCAAACTCAGATGATTCACAGCCATTTAGACATTTCACAATGTCAAGAGTTCTGCCCAGCATGCTGAGAGGATTTACTTACATCGGGTCCTGTTGGGCCAAAACTGTGGTCTTTGGGAGACTCCTGTCAGGCAGTCACAGAGTCAGGGACCCTAAGGGATCCTTCTAGGTATCCCAAGCTCCAAGGCAGGGCAGACATCTGAACTGCCTTGAAGAGAGATTTATGGATCCTTTCCCTGGAGAATTTCATGACTGAATTACTCTTTTTATTTTTTTTTTTATTCTCCCCCCTACCCAGGTTTATTAAATCAAACAGAAGTTACCTGGAGAGAGGTCATACACAGTCTGCAAGGCAAAATACCTTATTTGTACAATTGCCTCTTAGTATCTTACAGTGATTTTTTCGTTCTCCAATTGCCCACAAAGACTGACAGGCTGCAATGCTGCTCTCTGAGCAGCGTTTTGAGTCAGACAAAACCCTCATATACATGATCTAAATTCAGATGTGATCTCATATAAAAAAATCCACATAAGGACTGTACCAGGGCTGATTTTTTCTCTTACCTTGACGCAATCATTTGCGATCGGTCCCAGTGAATTTGGCAGCTTTTTGGCAGCGCCTACCTCATTGACTTTCTGCTTTTGTTGAAATCCCAGTTGCTGAGAAGACCAAAGAGCAGGCCAATGTGGTGGGAGAAGCAGTAGTAGCCAGCGTGAACACAGTGGCAAACAAGACTGTAGAAGGAGCAGAGACCATCGTGGCCACTACAGGAGTTGTAAAAAAGGTATGTTTGCTTCTTCAGTAATGTGTAGGACAGAAGAATTGTCTTTGGATTACACTTAAAATATCTGCAAACGTTTACGGTTGATGGTTTTACCTATTTGATGAGAGGCTTTCTGCAGTATCTGCTCTTATAGAATGCTTAATATTATTGTATAATACTTTATATATAATCACAGAATTGTTTAGTTTGGAAGGGACCTCCTGAGATCATCTGGTCCGACCCCCTTAGGGTCGAAGACAGCAGGTTGCTCAGGACTCTGTCTGGTTGGGTTTTGAACATCTCCACGGCTGGAGACTCCACAACCTCTCTGGGAAACCTGTGCCAGCATTTGACCGCCCTCACAGGAAAAAAATATGTGTTTTCTTGTGTTTGGATGGACACGTTAATCAATTTGTGCCCATTGTCCCATGTCCCATCAGTGGGCACTGCTGGCAAGAGTCCGGCTCCCTGTTTTCTTACGAATGTAGAAAAGCATTTTTTCCAGGGCCTCGAGCAGGACTGCCCAGGCCGCCATGAGCATCTGGCCGGAGTCAGAGCTCCGGGCCGTGCTGGGTGTGAAGGCGGAGGGGCTCAGCGCTTGCCCTCGCACCCGGCCGGTGCCCGGTCAGCGTGTGGCCCCGGCAGCTCTGCAGGCAGCAGAGGGCAGCAGCAATTCAGGCAAAGCCCATCCCAGCAGAGAGCCTGGCCCTCCTGCTCTGCTTTGTGCTGGTTTTGACAACAACCAAGCTCTTGTTGATGAAGGCCGCGTGACCCAAATTGTGCACGGATTAAGCCAGATTCAGACAAGGTGTCTCCTGTCCTCCAGCCTCTTTTGACAAACAAGGTTGCTTCAAGTGAGGGGATTAAGGGGCATGTGAAGGAGCAGAACAGCTCCCTAGATGAAGCCAAAATTGATCATTAGAGAAGATGCTTTCACTGGGTGGTAACAAGCAGCAACCATTTTTACAGTACATGAGGCTAATATTTGGCAGCTCTTTGGTAAGCCCGGCTGCGTGTCCCCTCTTCACAGGGCTGTGGTCAATAGCATTGATAGCGACATGAGCTAGATGAGTCACAACAAACCCAAGCCCAGAATCAAAGCAAAGCAAGGCTGGCCAAAATTATTTTAATTGTTCAGACAGTTGGCTGATGAATTTCCTGACCTGCACGTAAATACATTGTGATGTGAAACAAAACTTCTACACACCATATAATCCAGAGAGAATAGCCTAACAAAAGAGGAGAACAGCAGCTATGAGTGACGCAGAATGTCCTCCTGAAAGCATGTGAAAAGGGCAGATACAGAAGTTCTGCTAAGCCCTTGGGATAAGATTAATCTCTC